GAAATATTATAATGTGATATATAATAATGTCAAAAAAGACCCGCCTGTAAAGGTTATATGCCAAATCCATAGCAATCAGAAGACCAGTCGGAGATGGATAGATGGACATGTTATCGGTAGTATAATCCAGGAATTTTGCTCTGGCATATCGTTCAATATCGTGAGAATCATAATCTCCCCATCGAAGCTGCACATCAATCCAATATTTTTGAGTTGTCGTGCTGTCCATTACATCCTTACTATCAGCCATAAGCGATGGCCTCGATACATTCCACTTATACTGAGCGAACAGTTGAATATCCGCACAGGAACTGTTCATTTTATAAGATTTCCTGGGATGAATGGTTTCTTTCTGTACAGTTTGGATTTCCAGCGCATCTAACTCCTGATCGAAGACTTGACATAGATCCATAACCACTGACTCGTGGATCTTCTGCCACAAGTGAGCACGGAAGATTTGAATCAGCGAGATTTTTAATGTGGGGATTTTTCCGTGCATGAAAATGCCAGTAAGATCAAGCTGCACTTGGAAACCAACGTAGACATTGGCTCTGTTGATGGTTGGTGACCACCATAGGGTGAAACGACGGTTGGGAATTTGATTCAAACCAGATCGTTGAGCGTTGGTCAATTTCTTGAACTTCATGGACTCTTCAAATCCAGACGCTCTCTCCCAAAACAGACCTTCCCAGGTGGGGAAGTAAGTTCCCCTGAAGAGAGTGTGTTCAAGGATTCCTTCCACACCTCCCAACGCTTGGATCATGTCAGTACGGTAATTGTTGAGATTCCAGAGCTTTCCATCGTGCCTCTGATGGGTCCACCAGAAAGGATTCTGCTTCAAGATCTGGTACGCCTTAAACTCGGTTCTAACACGCCATCCCTTATCGTAGGCTAAAGTATGGCGATCCTTCTGGAATAAGGTATTGATACGCGGAATTCCTCTATCCCATGAATCGTCAAGATCTTCTAAGGTAAGACGACGATTCTGAGCATTTGCTTCCTGTCGCTTGAGGGCATACTCAGCCCATACACGTTGCGAATCGATAAATTCGGCCTCCCAAGGCTGAAACAAAGAAATGGAACTCTTATGGTACTGTATAGAGAAAGTGGACAAACCTGAATATATCTGTACAAGTTCGGGATCAACTGGTCCTCGTCATGGGTCATTCCTGAACGGAAGTGAGTGATACCACCAGCATCCGTCTGTTGCATCCATCGAAGGTCACTTTGTGGAATAAGGACGTGTCCCATGGAAAGCATACCTAGGTGAAATGTGAACTCATTGAGGATTTAAGCATAATCAATCAAAACTCACCCAATCCACCAATTTCTTTAGGTGTATAGAAAACGACAGGAGGGAATCTTGCAGGCATTTTCGAATTCAAACCAATCTTGATTCGGGTCTGGATCTTATTCTCACATTTCACAAGAAGATCTAGCAGTTCTTGAGTGTTTACGACAGCTTCTCTATAAACAAACGGTCCATCACCAAACAAAATTACAAATACAATTTCTTACCGGTAGTAAGTCATGAGACCAATAAGAGCTGTGTTCCATTTGTTGACAATCTTTGTGAATGTTGTTGATCCAGATGACATGAGAATTTGTCGGATTCTGTTGTGGAACTTAGACATGGACTCCTCGTCGACCTTCAGGAAGCATTGAGCAGTACGTTCTTTGGTGACCTACAAGCGAATTCATAGGAAAAACAAAACAAAAATGTTACAAACAAGAAACGGGAAAGCTATGGCAAAAAACTTTGCAGGAAAAGTCCTGAATTGATGAACTTGTTTGCTGGAAAAAGGATGCTCTGACAGACCTCATTCTGCAAATTCCAGACCCCATCTCTGTGAGTAATCTCTTCCGCAGTTGTACGACATTTCGGCAATATCCTGCATTCAAATCCAGCCATATCAAAAAGCAGATTCGGATTGTCCTTGCTGTACACCGATACAAACGCATACTCCCATTCAATCGTGGTTACAGAACGAGGAAGACGGTTCTGAAAACCATGATTCAGAATTTCTTATTAGTGTAGAATAGATGCACACCAACCTTAATATCCCAAAACACAGCTCGTCCCAGATTCACATCGTGTTTCATCAGACGCATTCTGGCATCTCTAGGCCAGCATTTCTTATTGTTATAGCCCACAATATTCTCGTTATTGGGGTCAGGATGCTCCGTAAGATATCGTTGGATCAAATCACGCGCTTCATCAGCAGAGAACCTAAACGCATCATTTCGCGCATTTGCTCTATCAATTGAGTTCAAGTGTCTAACCTGAACATGATCCAGACTCTATCGATGTATCTACAATACAAACGGATTGGGTGCGCCGTCTCAGTTGCGATATCCTTAAAAAAGAAGGGTCAAAAATCAGAAGCAGAAATGGAAGTCACAAGGATAAACACCTACCTGGAATGTGAGGAACTCATTGGGACACTGTGGTGGTCCAGCAATCTCAGATGCTCGTCGCAATCCAAGGATTAAGAGATCGAGGACAAGACCGTAGTACTGAAATTCACAAGATGATCATATAAGCAAACTAGTTAAGTGCAGAAGCTTATAAGCGGAGTAAGAAAGATCTTTGCACAACTACAGCAGTTTTGTATTCACCTGCACGATGAATGACGCAAATTGAAGCCCTCTGATGATTCCAAAGGAGTTTGTGTGATTCATGTCTTTGTAATTGATGAGAACGTTATTCTTCGACGACATGTAATCAGCGATGTTGTGATCCACGATCAATCTAGAGACATGAATAGATTTTTAATTTAAGACTCATTTGACCAACATCAAAAGTAGTACTTTCAGCATATAAAAACTCACCTTAGCAATCTGTTCAGCAATGTCAAATCCATCTTTTCGGCTACCTTCTCCAACTTTGCTTCCATCATAACATTGCACTCTCCTAGAAAAAGT